GTTTTTTTTTTTTTTCGCCCTCTCGCACCGATTTTGGGGTACCCAGAGGATGTCATCCATAAAAATAAAAAAGTGTGGCCTAACTGAAGTTCAGTGCGCCTAATGTTAGTATGCGCCCAACTTTGCTAACCTTTCACCTCACGAGATCAGTTTACCACCGTGTTGGTAAATCTCTTTTTATATGTATTTTGCACAGCATTAGTTAACGTCATAGCTCAGCCGAGCTTTGGCAGAGGATATATTTTTGTATTTTTTTACCAGAATTATTACCATTTAGATGATTTCATTTTTGTTTAATTATTCAAGATCTAGACACATGGATTGAATAAGTAACGATATGTATCCTAGCTCATTATTGTGATATATTCATGGGAGGGATGACATGCTTTACGGTAGAGAATCCATTCCTTATCAAGTTTATGCGCTGAATATCCCTGATAATTCAAGAATAGTATACGCCTTTGAACTTATTAAACTTTGTGTTAAGTAATTCACTGCAAAAAATTGATATCTCCGTCTGTACCTCTTAGCTGAGGCAGCTTACATTAGGTAATCTCCGTTGACATTTTGTACATATTGAGATGATCACATCTAATAAATATTAATGAACTGTACCGCGGCCGGAGGTCCTTTTTTTCATAGGCTGGTTGAATAGAGACAAAATGATTAAAAAATTTAAGTGGGACGATTAATTTGTGTTTGTTTTGTTTCGTTTGTTTTAATCTTTGGTGTATGTTTGGGAGGGTGGGGGATGGGGTCGTTAAAAATGAAGGTCATATTTTTTCATACCTCCAAAGCAATGGTGGTAAGCAGCACGTTATTTACCCCCCCCCCCCCCCGAAGCCTCCTTCCCCTGGATCGGACTGTGCGTACATGTACATACCGAATTGTACATGCTGTATCCTACTATGCAGTTTATTTTGCATTAATAAAGAAATGGGGCTTATTTTGCACACATTGTGAAATGGCTAATGTGATTTTTAAAAACATTTTAGATAATTTAAAAAGTTTGTAAAGTTTGTAAATTACATAGATAACGGTGAATAAGCATGTTTTTAAAATTAAATTAACATATATATAAGAAATTTGAGTTTATTTTTTCATGAAAACATAATAATTTGGTTAAGTATTTATTATGGTGAGATTCATATGGTGATCGCATAGTCAGCTGAACATTACCACATAATCTACCAGCAACTCAGCTGGCATCTAGATCTGGAAAAAAACTAAATCCATTACTGTACTGACTGAGAACGCAGTTGTAAACTGCATACCTTTTAATGTAAAATGTGACTCATTAGCTTTTAGTGGTGCTGGTTTATTGAATGTTTAATAAATATTTTTCTTTATATACAGTTAGACTTGTTGGTTTTATTTGTGTGCTAATATACCGTGTATGTTTTGATGTATTCATCGACTTGCTGTGGTCCATAATTTTTATCAGAACCCGAAATCCCATTCTCGTCTTTGATTATTTTATCAAGTTGGCTTTATTTTTGAGATAAGAAATGTTAATTTAAATTTAAATTTTACAATGATGCTTTAAATTCTTCATGAAGATATATAGAAGAAACGTCCATATACATAATTACACATTCTATTGTATTAATTAAAAAAATTACCTTTAAAGTAAAAGGTAACAAAATCGTTATGTGTTGCTCCTGTCGCAGATTGGAGAAGTAAAAGGAGAGAAAATTAAGGCATTAAGAGTGAAATTCAAAAAACAAAAAATATAGATAAAGTGGGAAAACGTGATAAACATTACTAAGGTGCATACAATCTCAGTTTTTTTAACTGTTAAATGTATCTGAAAAGACATTTCGAAAACAAAAGAGACCAATTTCTTTTATTTTAACTTGCCATTGTCACCATTTATGACAGGTACACCTGTTGAAGGAAAGGTCACTAATGATGCAATTAAGCCAGTATTGCGACTATATGTCCTGTTGATAAGGTAATGCATTGTAGTCATATTAATGAAAGAGGATCTCAATGAATGAAAGTGTTCAAAATTTTAATTTAAACAGTTTAAAAACTGTTAATCAGAGAAATGAACAAGTTATAAGATAGGCGTGGAACAGGATGCAAAATCTGTACGTCAAGTGTTACTTGAAGTTATCTGGAATTACTGCAAATCACCTTGTGTGAAATGGCTGCCATGTGTATCACTATGCGAAAAATGCTCAAATGCTTCGTCTGGGAATAAAGAAAAGTGCAGTGGATTTAACTGAAATATTTGACAAATCTATGAACACGTCAAAACTGACTGTGAATTATACGAAAAAAGAAAATCTAGAAAAGTTTGCCTAAGACATACTACGAGTTCTACATACATAAATGGTGTGAATCTGCTCCGGTGTCGTTCACAGCTAGGCAAAAGACACCCCCCCCCCCCCCCCAACAAAAAAAAAAAAAAAAAACAACACACACACACACACA